AAAAAAAAAAAGTTTTTACTATGGTTTACAGTGACTGTTTTGTGACAACTAATTAGGCTTTTTAAATAATTTAAATACTTTTTAAAAACTGATAAATCGTTCAGTAAATAGTACTTAGATATTGTATTCTGACATATAAACGATCTCATGCTTAATGTCTACACGAATCCAAACTGGTTTTCTCGACTAACAATCAAGACCTCAATAATTATCTAAACTTTAACAACTCAAAGTCTCTGGCCTAATGGTTAGCATTTTGTCACCATAAATTCACAAAATGAAATACCATATCTTATTTACTGAAATTTCGTCGTCACTAACGCAGTTAAAAATTCAACGAATTCTGATTTGCAGAGGATTAAATAAAACTAAATTGAAAAGCACTGTAAATCTACCTGTAACTTTTGTTTAACAATTTCCCTTGTATTTCGAACACAAATTTTTCACGAAAACAAAGGTTACTGCTGTGAATTAAGGTTTGAAAGTTTTAAAATTCAGTCTAAAAATTATAAGAAAAGATATTTTAAAAAATCATAAAATTTAGCATGATATCTTTACTTTTTTGTGATCTTCACATAAAATTCAGCTGTTCCCTTAACTCAATCTTTAAACTTTTTTTGCGTTGAAAACATTCACATAATGTTCAACCACTTTGAAAGTTGCTATAGCACTACGGAAAATTACTTCCCTCGGGTATTCCGGCTTCAGCAGTCTAAACGTTTTCAAATCAAACAACTCTTTCATCTGTTGGAAAATGCTCAATTATGTGAAAAATATGTTAGTTCAAAGTGACTGCTTAAGTTGAGATAAAAAGAATTGTAAGCAATCAAAAAATAGGAAGCAACATTTATAGCACTCAAGACACAGGCAACTGTTAGTTTCCAGAAACACCAAGTTTCTGATGGCCGCGTAAAAAGTAAGCATGAGATCGACTATAACTGCATTGCTTTTAAACCATTAAAACTCAGTATAACTAAATAAAATGATAATTTTTTTTCCCGCAAAATTCACTAAAATTTCTCAAAAAATATCAAAAAATTGAGCCAGAATTCGTTATCAGTTTAGAACTGCTTGCTCTTCCAGTGCTTAACTATACGACTTCAAAACTGTATCGTAATTCCTCCTCAAGAAAATAAAAATCTTGAAGGAAACTTGTAAATTTATTAGGCTTTTTACATTATTTATCAAACATAAGCCAATGAACATATACAGAAAAAGCTTCTCCAAGTTTAAGCAATCAAAAAAGAAGTTAAAATCTTTTCTTGCAACGAACTTATAGTTGATGGTAGCGGTGGTTGTTACACGAGTTGGTAATATAACTTAAATACTTACCAGGATTAGAAGACCGTTTAATACCGGAAACAAATACGATTTCTTTGAACCACAAAATGCTTTTTCCAAAACTGTCATAGTTAAATTTAGCTCAGTTATCGAGGCGGGAGAAGAAACTGGGCTTAGGTGACAACGTTGTAAAGAAGAAAAACTGGGAAGAAAATATCGATTTTAAGAGGATCCGCAGTGGAAGAGATCGCAAAAACGAAATTTTGTTGAACAATTGCACAGCCGGGTATGTACAATGCAAAGAGGTTGACCGAATGGCAGTACCAAAAAGCAAACAAATCTGATGCAAATACCCTACTCTGCTCGTAAAGCAAACGTAAACACTGTCACTGCCGATGCTTTGCATCGAATAAGGCTTTTAGGTCCCATATCTGAATAAGACCCATACTGTTCAGAGTTAGATGTTTTAGATATTCATATAAAATTTCTTTGTTCGGAGGATTTCATCGCAGGATAGTAATATTGATGCCATTCAATCCCATCTAGAGGCCGACCACAAAGAGAATAGAATTACAATCATCAATCGCAAAAATTAACTATTCACCATACAGCCTAAGATATTTTTTGGTGAAACTAAAGCTGCATGACTGGTTTCTGTTGCTTTACCATATGGTTGTGACGGAAACCCCGGATTGTAGCAGTCCTATTCAGGGCTTTCGCATAATGCAATTTTCATAAACTTATGCACCGTATCAGCTATCACACGCTTCTATAGGCCTATCACCTTGTTGACTTGAGGCTGAAAAGGCCATAACTTTACTAGGTTAATGGTTTTTTTTTTTGCAAAAGTGACCTAGTTTTATTTATTTGTATCAATGTCTTTTTATGCAGTATTTAGTATGTTCTTTTTCTCTAGCTTAATTGTCTGTACAAGTTATTTTAACTTTAGCTTCTTATCTATGAACCTTCTGCGGCACTGTTTTGAATGAGAGGAAAACTGAAAAGAAAGCTCTTGTTTTTTTGGTACAGCTATCTGGAACACTATAAAAATTATTTGTAAAGTTACGTAAATTTTGTGGAGAATCTAGTAGCGCGAGACCGTAATTAAGTGCGAGACTGAGAACAAAAAGAAGTAGACTATGTTTAAAATAAATATTTTCCAGAAAAAAAAAAGTTGTATCTGAATAAATAAAATTAGGCATTTTTTAAACAGAACCTTACTGGTTTAGTGAACCTGTGCTTGACAAACTCAGAATCGGTTGTTTACCACGAATGGGTCAGAACTTACAATTAATACCGAAAAAAATGAAAAAATATTAGACAGGAGAGAATGCATGAGTTTTTTGCAATTAACACTTAACCAAAGAATAATGCAGAGAGAAACCGACAGGGGGCAATATTTACTCTAATGGTAAGTCAGTAGAATTGAAAAGTGTACAGTGTTGTTCGTATGAACAAAATTTGGCTTCCTTATTCAAAAAGACTATCTTGTGAGCAGAATACATATCAGGGAATAACTTAACAGCATCTTTTTTGAATTGTTTAAGGTCTTAAGCTTTGAATCAAATGAAACGTTATTACAGTTCTTGAGTAAATGGTTTTTTAACAACTTGGAATTAAACTTTATTTTTTTAACACTTAAAATTTTTCTAAAGACGTATTCGCTTCGGGTAGATAGAGGAAAAATTGTTTTGTTGTGAGTGGTTGTTTATAAGAGCTTCAGAATATAACGGTATCAAAGATTGCTTAAGTGACCCATCACCGAAAGAGATCATCACTGGTTTTTAAGAAAAATATATTTCAAAAGCCCTGAAGTCATCGAAATTTGAATCTGAAGCGGTCTAGCAGGTATGATCTGTTCTGCAAATTACAAATGCAAAAGTCTGTCAGCGAGCATGGTGGCTGAACTGCAAAAGGTGGTTGTCTCAGAAAGTCGCAATCACTTTTCGGGTGACAGAAATATCATTTTTCAAGTCAGAATCATAATTTACATTATTGCAGTTGTCTGGAAAACTACACGACTGTCCTTGTTATGTTATCTATCTCATTACCATAAAATTCAAGGATGAAAAAAGTTGTAATACTTTTGCTGGTTTGCCTTGTTGCGTCAACTATTGCTGCACGGACGCAGAATAAGGGACGTCATAGAACTGCGAAGAAAAAAAAGTAATCTTTTTTATTTTTCTTTTTCCAAAAAATTGACGATTTTTTATT